CAATTTTTTTGCTTCCTAAACCGCATCCCCGTATCTAAACACAAAGAAAACTCATTACTGACAGAACAAAAAAGCTACGGGGGTAACCATCGAACATCATCGTATGCAGATGGTACGTCTCGCGTTCCCTAAAGGGTAAAGCTACCTGCCCACCGAAAACATACTTTCAACCCCTTTTTGCATAAATCTCTCCGATCTGATGATATATCTGGCAAAGATTTTACGCGAATTAATGGACCCTGTGATATTATTTAAAACAACCCATTTGTGTTGTCGACCCTCTTAATCGAAAACTAACCCTTATAAATCACTCGTTTGGCGATTCACCTTTTTATGTTGGATTTCTCATGCATGTGTTTCGCTTATTGTATGCGATTTGACTGTTCAAGTATCGACGAATGGCAAACAATAAGTTCGAATTCGAATTTATTGCCAGATTTGAATTTTTATGGTTGTTACTGTTTCGTTTGTGTCAGTCGAGAGTTTTGGCCGAGAAATAAATTGCCGCATTTTGTCATGTAGAAGTATAAAACAGCTTTATACTTGCAGAAGTAATAGCTATCAAATAGTAAATGTTTAAAGTTTCGCAAATTTTTCAAACGAATTTTAGTACAAAACTTAGACGAGTTTCTCCCTTCATATCGGAACAAACTAGACTTTGTTAGATCAGTTCTAGAAATTTTAAATATTTGCTTAAAAGGTGAATAAAACCATATTGTCTTTGAGTTATGTTCAAATGACTTGAACATATGCAAATAACCTATTAGAAATACGTTTTTTGAATACGAAGTTATTTCGAATAAATTGTTCAAAAGATTACTAATTTGGCAATTAAACCAGTCTTCGGAATGAACGGTTTATATATAAGTATGTTATACAGTGTGAATATATTTAAACTATTTAAACATAAAGTTCTAAACCGTATGTATTTGCCTGCTTTTAAAAACAGTCACGTAAATTTTTAATAATGATGACAGAAGCAACTAACAAGACTCTCAAATCAGACATTTATCCTGCGTTTTTGTATTGTTTTGAGAGAAAAAACTGAAACGTGTTTGCTAACTCTGTTATCTATTGAATAATCGTACCATTTTCAATGTTCATTCCTCACGGCAACATTTTTGGGCCTTAGATCAGAGCAGCATTTTGGTTTTATTAGATATATATATTATATTATATTAATCTACTGAGTCCTAAAACTTATATCTACTTAAAAAGTTTTGCATTCCTTGATCTTGAAAAATTTGATCGCTCTCTCAGAAAAAGAAGAAAGTACTATCAGAATAATTCAGATTTTGATAGGGCTGTATTTTTTCCACGGTTGCGAGAAAGCAATTTATACTTTGTCCCTAGGAATATTTTGTTAAAATTGCCTGTTCAGATCGTCGTCTTACACTCGAATAAACGAAAACGTCAAGGAACGGGATCAGCCGGTCGATACAATCCAGCTCCATTTTAGTATGAAATTGAATTCCCTGCCAAATTTGATCGAGATAGTTTGACTTGCTATTTTGCCAGGTTTTAGTTACTTACAATTTACGGGAATCAATTCGGTAGCAGTCGCTTTGGATAAGCCAAGTTTCTAATGCGATTTATCTACATGACTAAAGTTATTCTCATTTTCCTTCTCGCTCCTTACATCGATAAGATTTCAGAAAATGTTCTGTACAGTTGAAAATGCTCCAAATTCCAGCATCCAAATGCAACTCTTTTCAACTGAGAATTTTTTTAAAGCGCTGATACTTATCTGAAGTGAAAAATTTTTCTAAATTCTTGTGTATTGAATCGGCAATTTTAACCACACAGAAACCGCCGAGTTATTTTCCATATACCTGAGACAAATTCTTCGGTGATAGGTACGAGCCAGGCACTTTTAATACTTCTAAAGTTGCTTGACATTTATGCACGAATATTGCATAAGTGATTGATATTGCATACTGCGAGCTGTTGGCAATAACATTTTTGATGTCCTACTTTAATGCATATGGTGCACGTTTTAGCAAGAGATTCGGTTAATTAAACTACATCCCATAATCCGACAAACATTTTTTATATATTGAATAGGAGATATTTCTTATGGCACCGTGCTTTTAAGCATATTTAGTAAGCTTAAGTCTCTAGAACTTAAGACTCAGTTTGTTTGCAGACTCAGCGAAGATACGGTGATAAAACGAATAATTTAAATTTACTCTACTAGACTGAAAGAACTCTGTCCTTTTATGTTGTTTTTTTGTTCGTACCATATCATGGATCTACACTTTCCAAATTATTCTTTTTAATATTAGGGCTACACAGTGTAGACTATACACAAGTACTTTTATTATTAAAACTGGCTTTTCGTAATTATTGTTTTTACTTCGAGATTTACGAGGTTCTTTTTTACGACAGTATTCAGCTTGTTTTCGGTCAACTCCAAAAATATCTGAAATTTTTGAAAAAATTTCAAAAGACCGCCGTTGATCGTTGATCTGCTTATAAAACAACATTTAACGCGCATTAGCTGCTCAATTCCCAGACTTACATTATTCATCGATACGATCGTATTTTCTTGTTATATGATCGAACCTACCGGCCTCATATCAGATTTTTAAATAAAAAAAATAATTCCACCATGGTGCCATGGTCAGAGTATCTTATCAGCCTTCCCTTGCTCGATTATAGTGTGAGATAATCTGTTAGAAATAATGTTAGCACTTCCTCATAAATTAGTAGCTTTATTACACCTGTCCGCCGAAAGTGCGTGTTCGGAAAGAATGGGAAAGATTTTTATCAGTTAATATATGAAAATAGACTGTAGGAATGAAGGTCTGAAAGGGCTGGCTGGTTTGCCTAAATGTAGACATTATGAAATAATCACTTGCGATTTAATGAAGGGCTTTGAAGCCATTAATATTAACGAAACGCATTTTGTCTAGTTAGTCGAAGAATTATCTTTAGAAGTTCTTTGGGTCAGAAGTTAATGAGGCGAATAAACAAGGAAATTTGAGGTAGATTTCCATTTTATTATCTCATAACTGGAGAATCGGGCTACTATAAAAAGCTACATCCAGACAACAGTGGGGACTAATTTTTATCTAGGCAGGTTTGAGCGGTTTTAAGTTGCAATCGTATGTAAAGCTCCTTGAACTGTAAAAGACAGTTCCAATACAGGATTTGCAGATTTGCTCAAAATCACTTTCAATTCCTTCACATAATGGTTTCTTTTATTTGCGGCATAATCGGTGCAGCTATGAGTTTTTATGAAAAAAAAACATTTCTCTGTTATCAAGTTTCATATTAAAGAAAAATTAGAGCGAAAATCTGTTTATCGAATTATAAAAACGAATTAGGACTGTTGGAATTTAACTTTAGTTTCGTAATTTTTTTACTCCAATTCAACTTTTAAATGTTTTTTATTGAATATAGTCGTTTATTAAAAATGTAATACTTGGTCTCAAGTTTTAAGACCTTTTATGAACTGTTGTTGAAGTCGATTCATGCAGCACATTTTTGAAACCATTCTTCGAAAAGGTTTCAGCTTTCTACTAAATTTTGGAGACTTTATTTAAAATCGTTGCAAAGTCTCTTGTATTGTATCAATCAATTCGTCAAGTCGTTTAAATCAGAGTATTGACTTTATCTACATTTAGCTTCCAATAGATTTAATTGGACTAAGATGGTAGAGAGGAAGCAGTTCAACTGCCTAAAGGTCTAATGGAAAATATGAAAAAAATTAGACCTATTTAAATGAAATTGATCTTTGATCTTTTAATCTTCTAGTGATTATCTTGATACTGTCGTTAAGATTAATACTGATGCAAGGGAATAGTGACAGTAACAACGTTTTTCACAATAAAAAAATATTTCTGGAAATAAACAATAATCATTAATATACATTTACAAATTTTCCTATCAGATATTTGGTCACAATTATACCGAATCACTGAAATATTCAGAAAAATTTGATGCTGAAAGCTTTAGCTTTTGCAATAAAAAAAACAAATAAAGCCATTCGACTTGTTCAGGTTGGAACACACTTTTTGCTTTTCGGGCATCGTCGGTCCTGATTTCATTTTTCCCCAAGAACACCTGTTGATAATGGAATAATTTCTCTCACTGTTCGAGTGATCATAAAAGAGCCGTTATAAAGATTAAATTGGAATTAAAGAAATTTTGTTTTATAGCTATAAGAAATGTCAATGTCGATAGCGAATATATTTTAATAAATTTGCAATTCATTAAACTTTGCTTCTTTGTCACAATTTAGAATCGAATGCAAACACATAATTTATCAGACTCATGGCGGTAGGTCTGTGGCACTCCCAGGCAACATTCAGAATTTCGGTAATTTTCTACTTTTTAACCTTTTGAAGACTCTTCTCTTCACTTAGGGGTAATTTTACATCGCCAGTGATGGCCAAATCTTCGAATGTCAAATTCCATTAACAGAGGACACTTCAGGCATGCCGCACTCCCTTCATCATTATTTTATGATAAAACTAACTAACAACAGAAGATCATTTTAGAAGATTGTAGCAAATGAACCCGACTCCATACCAAGCTAATGAACGCATCTAGTGGGTATTAAATCCACAATAGGTAGCCTTTCTCATAATACATATACATAGATGTGCGTAACATGTGTAACACATGGAAATGATTCGCATGTTTCAATCTATCCAATTATTTTATGCATATATCAAACAGGAATAATCATTAATAACTCGTATGATCGCCTGAGCTGAAGAAATTTATCAATTTAATTTCAGTTGCTCAGTAAGGCTACTACTGTTCCAGTAGGAAATCATACTTAGAAACTCATATATTAACACCACTTTACATATCATGATCAGCCAGGTAAAGGAGGAAGAACAGCCTCCACATCAGGAAAAAACCAATTTATATGCAAACGATTTTGAATCTACACGCGTACGTAGCCTACGCCACTGTCACTGCCAATTTATGAACCTGCTAGTACCACATAGTACCACAAACTAACAGCTTAAATTACGATTCCCGTCATTTGCAAATGTAAAATTATAATGGGAAACATAATCCTTTTGTGCACGGTCATGTTTACTGTTATTTACAACTTGTAAAGTCACCTGTTGTGGACCGTTAAACCGTTTTTGATTTACTCGTAGGACAGTGGACATTCGGGTAATGTCTTTCTGGAATGCCAGGTGTTGTGGTTATTGCTAAATCTTGTGCAACGAAAAGAAAGGCGCGTTAATGACCAGAACGCAATTGACACTAAAGTGGTCGTAATTATTGTCAGCTGACACAAACGATTAAACGATTTGACCTATGGGTTATCAGGAAGTGTGCAGCCAATCATCCTGAAAGGAACCTTATGGTCGAACATCTACTTACACAGGATTTAGTTTCGATCTCTCACAAAGTAAGTACCGGAGTTTTTGATTAATGTCCTTTTTCTTATTTCATATTTGAAGCGCCTCGCTCAGTCCATTTGATCCAGAAATCATCCAACAAAAGTTTGCAAACAGTTTAAATCCACGGCGCGGTTGATAGATTTGATTATTTTTATTTTCTCAACATAGTGAATGTTCCTTCTAATTTTATTTCTTTAACACGTGGCTAGAGTCAATAGTTCATACACACGTGGAATGACCAAAATGCGCCATGTAGTTTCAGAGTTTTTCTACTCACCGCTTCTTCACCAAAATGTACCATATGTATGAATTTTATCTTTCAATTGAAGATAAATAATAAAAGACGATAAAAATATATGCAAGATTAATGCTAATGAACTCATCACTAACACGTCTTCAACTTCAACACTAAAACTCGAAAATATATTTCTCAGAAATGAAGAATAAGGCTTGTTCTTAGATATATGATCAGCGCTTATGCATTCACTTTACTTAGAATACAATATCTGAATGTTTCACTGGATGGGAAAAAAATATTAGCAAATGTTGTTCTTCTAATCACTCACTGAGCCATAACCCTTCGGGCGCAACCAACCTGGTTGATACGCGAATTAATTGGGAAGATTTTCGGTAGGATTTTTAAAATAAATGTAACTGAACAGAGGAAATACACAGGCCCATATTGGATAAGTTGACTTCAAGCTGGTTCAAGCTTAATAAAGCCTGTTTAACATTACTCAACCTTTAGCCTTCTGGTATTTCTTTATATACAAGGTATCCGTAAGCACATGATCAACAGGGCAATGTCTCGAAAGAAGACGATCTGACCTAACTTAATTAAGAAAAAATGTCCTTTTTAATTAATTCAGACGTTGCTCTGTCTGACTGATGCCCACAGTTCATGTAAAAACTGGATTTTATTGCTCGCTTTTAATTTTTTCTTATGTAAGATTCAGATTTTGATGACGCTACCGGGTTCCTCCGCTTGAGGTAAGTGGTGAATTCTTAAGTGTCTTGGAACAAAAACTACCAGAACCTTTGGTTTGATAGCTGGAATCAACTGACTTTTTTTTCAAGTTAATGCACTAATCCATTTTTGTGTTCCATCCAACTCTGTGAATTATATTCACAGAATTTGGGCGAACAAATAATTTTTCTTTCCTGGCTTTGTTTAGATATACCTACGTATTAACAAAAATACTTTGATTGAACATATTTCAATTGGATTCATGAATATTTTGCGATTTCAGACATTTATGTCGATTTTGCTGTTTACAGTTTAGTTTTACTGAGTACACTTTAAATGTATGTCTATTTTGTGTGCAATTCGTATTAAATTGGCTGGTTTTGCGTTGAAAAGTAAATAAGTCAAAATGGACCATTCGCTTTTCCTTAAAAAGTAAGTCTGTTGAGGCAAAAAATTATGCGCTTATGAGACATCATCTATTATAGCTTCGACCGACCAATATATTTATTTTTGTATTCTCAATACCCAATTTTAATATTCTCAAGTTCATACGAATACTGATGTTCTTCGACTCAATAAAACCAATTTAAATTTTAAACTTAAAACATAAAGTACAGCATTTTCTTTGCCAATTCCCATGTTCTACAAAAATGTCACCGCTTGCTCAATAAAACTTTTAACAACTATAAAAGGAATAGTGCAATGATAATACGGAAAAACAGAGCTAATGTAACCGACCACAACCGGACTGGTTGGTGTATTTTTCCTTATACATCAGCCCCTTGGACAGGTAACTGACGTATCGCTTAAAGCAGGTGAAGCGGATTGCTAATCTCCTAATTCCATTCGTTACGATGTCAGAGCTTTTGTGTTCCAAATTGCGTTTAAAAGGCTATCAATAGGTTTGAAAACCGCAACTACAAGTCTTGAAATTGTGCGAACAGGGACGGCTTTTATGGATTATCCACAGTTAATTGACTAATAGGCGTGAGGAAATCGCACAATCCCAAGAACTTAAACGTGAATTCTGCATCAATTTGAAGATTTAATCGTTTCAAACTGCATCGTTAATTCGAGTTAAGATTCACATATTAAAATGACTAGTGCTGTGATTACAGAGCACATAAATCTAGATTGGTAGGAAGGAGTAAGCCATTTAATCTTGGAAATATCAACTCGCGCTGCACATTGTCAACCAAATGCCTCAAAAATTTCCAACAAAGTATTACAAAAATAACGAACTCTCGGCCGCAAACAAAACTGTATTATTGGCGTCCTCAAAAGATATTTTCTGAGCTTTGCTTCTTTCATGTTATTATTCTAGCTAGCTGCCTTCCACGCTAATGGGGTATTAGTCCTTTCTAGCAAATGTGCTTTTGTTGCATGTCGTATGTGTGTTTGCCGTTTATTAAAAATATGCTTTGTATGTATTTATATTCTCTAAGGATAACTCGAATAAAACCAAAATGTTTACAGTCGGTACGTAAATCTCATGCCAAATGCGGAATATATACATAGGAATGCAATTCTATGGTATTAAACTAACGATCATTAAGATATGTGATGAGAGTCGTACTAAGGACGTAGTCCTCATTTGGACTGCCATGGAACTATTTGTGGAACATCTAGTACATGAAGATTAAATACCAAAGTATAGGAAAGCAAGATGTTATTCTGAAGATTCATTAATTTTTCAGTTCAAGTTCATTTAAGATTTACAGAGCAGATTCTTCTGTAATTGAAAACAGTACTGCAGCATGAATGTTCTGATTCTAGGTAGTTTTTATATATTTATTATTTATATATTACGTTTCCACGATTCTAGATACAAATAATAGTAATGCTAACAATCATAATAATACTACTTCAACTTATTTGGATTCGATGCTATAAATCGAAGAAAAAAATGGATCCCCGATGAAAGAGGCAGATTTAGTTAAAAGTTAATGAACACCATTTGGAGAAAACCTAAATTTTGCAATTAAATAATTTAAATATAAATCAACTTTTAAGTAATCAGAACATATGTATATACACGTTTTTTAATTGATCTAAGTAACCTCATAAAATTCGCTTTGTGTATGCAAATATCGTTCCATACTGTCTACTTGTGAACCTTATATGTGAACTCTAAAAATGAATCAACGCGAAATAAAACTTCCTTTCCTGACTCCCCAGAAGTAGATATTCGAAAAGTCGAGAAAACCAAACAATATACACAACTCCTTTCAAATCTACAAGGACTGTATTTTGCAGGAATTGCAAAACTTTTCGGCGTTTTGAAGAGATATTGTATGTCTTGCCAGGCGAAAATATATCCATAGATGTTCAAAAGTTTGCTGAAATACTGCTACTGAAAAGCTTTTTTGAACGATTTATTGTATTTGTCTGGATTTATTCTAAATGATAGATGTGTGTATGAGTTTATCTTTTATCAAATAAGCCTTGAAAATTAGATACAAATGAAACATTCAGCCTATTCCAAGATTAACGATCAAGCTTAAAGCTATTGTGTAAAGATATTCATTTATGCTCTAAACAAAACTTTCAAAGAGGAAACAATCAAGATACAGAAAGTTTTAAAAAGTTATTTAGATTTAGTTTTAACCTCGACTTAGAGTCTGATTTATTTTTCTAAATGTTTTATCCTTCTTAATCCCCATCTTAATTTGAGTAGATAAAAAACTGAATTGATCATATCCCAAAAAGAAAGTTAACTTTTCTCATGTTAAATAACACAAAGGGTGTTGCAATATTGTTCCATAGAAAAAGTATCACTCACCTCCTCTGTCTCAGCAGGTCAGCAAAATGAAATGCCGTAGTCCTAAAAATAAGAAAATAATATAAGAATGTAAAAATAGGTAAATATTCACTTGGCATACGCATAATAAAATATTCACAGTCTAGTTTGATCAAAAAAAGTACATCAAAAATCTTGCTAAGAAACAGGGCGTTAAGACTAAAATCAACTAGGACTTTTGCCTTTTAATCAGTATTCTATCGAAGTAGATCAAATAAATTAAATAAATCTAAAATGCATAATTATACTGCTATGATGTTTAAAAGTCGTAGCTTTGTAAACTATTTTTAAATATGTTTGCATAATGTCTTCTGGTTTGCATGGAACGATTAATAGCAACTGAAGAACGTTTCAATTTCAACGTTGCACAAATCAATTTTAAATAGTGTGAGGCAAAATTTAGAAATTTAATTGTTGATTTGTACTCTTCACTTTTCATCACTAATATTGTGTTATATAGTTTGGGAGAAATTTAATTCCTGAAGTAGATTGGAGGAAGCACTTGCATGGTATCAACGCTGAAAACTATTTTTCTTTAAATGAAGTTATTACTTAAGCAAAATAAAACTTTTATGCATACATTTTACGGAAAACACAAGAAAAGTATCCCAATAAGGCAGACGACAGTTTCTATCTGATAAAATTGAGCCGATTTTATAAAATTCGTTCTCTGACTCGTGCTCGTAACCACAATAAATGAACGGCAACGAAAACGGATATGAACACATAAACGGGCAGATATTTAAATTTTGCCCTAGCTAGTGCGTCGCTCTCGAGGAAATTTTCAGGGGAAATGGAAAATGTGCGGCTGTGTTTATTGCTAGGAAAATTGGAATTTTTCGAAGATATAGTCGCTTCTCGTGTGCATGCCACATACGAATTCCATCGTTTTGTCGTCATCCGACTTTATATGGGAACAATATTCAAGTTTTTATGGCTTATAAAATAATAATAAAGCTCACTTGAAGATATAATATGGAACCTTGGGCTTGAGGATGTCAGGGCGTCTGGTGGCTCAAGATAATTTTTATAGATAAAGTACCTGAACATATTATCATCTATAAAAATTTGGCTGTAATTGAAGTAAAGTTTTGAACACTTCCGGGAAAACTAAAACTTTCAATGGGAAAATCCATATTGAAAACTTTCTGGCGGTTCAACTGATGTTCAAACACCGGTTAATGGAATGAAACCTAATAAACATTGGAGGGTAACAAATATTAAAATTAAGGATTCCGTTATACACAGTTTTTCCTATTATAAATTTGTAGATTAATAGAAGTTTTATTTCATATTTTCACTTATCAACTTTATTGCTAAATATTTTTGTTATTATGGGTAAGTGAATACTAATTAAAATTTAAATTTCTTCAAATTGATTGGTGTGTATGTAATAGAGGCAAAATCCTTCAGACATTAAATCCACTCAACAAAAGTTCAAACCTAAATGGTTAGAAAAAGTGCCTAATCACAAACTCAATGAATGTTTTTGCTTTCATATCCACAGTATTGACGATTCAAGTCGAACAAATCATTAGAGAATCTTCAATTTGATGTAAGAACATATCTGATTTCTGCCGTCAAACATTCCAATCTCGTCCAAAGCTTTTCCTTAATGTATAAGCGCCACGTTCTACGTGCTTATTCCCAATACATTCCAAATTCCAAAGGTTCAGCTGAGTAGAACTAATAAAATAATATACGGGCCTCGAAATTGTGACGTGCTGTGTAAAATTTTGTACGTTACGTGGCAGGAATGTCGGATCGGTGATGGCTGCTGCTCGATCCCTCCAGCAGAATTACAGACAGACTATGCTGGCCTCAAAATGGAAGTAACGTACTCTGCATTTAAGAAAAAGGGTCGCTTTTTGCAGGATCATCTGCAAGATGAATGACAAAGCTAAAACTGTCTGATTCCTTCGAGAGGGTCAATAAGTTAATGTTTCACATAGAAAATTGAACAAAATCGTATAAAGCGCCTTCACTTCTAACCATTATGGCTTAGTGATTGTAGCTATTAGTTATGTTCAATGAGCTTTGCTTGGAACAGCATCCACAAAGCAAACTTTTATGTTAATTAAGTACGCAAGTTAGTAGACATTCATCCCCGATAAATTTTAGGTCATTTAAGCTGAAACTGCGAAAGTAGACAACAAACGGTGTACCTGTGGAGCTAAGAGTTATTCGCCGGTAAAATATTAAGCACTGAAGTGTCGTTGGGTAGTCCAAAATATACACAGGAATAAAGCACTTCAGCATATGATATAAATTATTAAACTTTACCAGGAAAGACGATTGGCGCGTCGCATCCCAGCTTCATTAGCTGCTATTTAGTGCCAGCGACTTTACGTTTTACGGATAAACTTTACTGCTTTAGCAGGGACTATTTTCCAAATGCGCTACGCCTTTTTCAAACGCCATTTGTGAAAGCAATCGTTCATAAAACGTGTAATTCAAAACAGTTTACACGGACCCAATTAGAAGTAAATCGAGTACGAAATCGGCTGGCGAAAAGTTGGCTTACCAGCCCGGCTATAATGGCCGGGAATTCATCAAGTTAACGGCACAAATCGGCGCCAAAACTGGCAGGAAATTAAAACCCAGAACTGTATATTTGCACGTTTCTAAATCAGATGCGAGGGCTATTTTTCGGCTTGCTGAATACATTATACATATATTTGGTGCCGAAAATCCCTTCAATTCATCGCATTTCTTTATGGCATCCTATTTAACACAAATATCTAAGAATTTACAGGATGACAGTTTATGGTATGCTATATTTGTTGTTTAATAGATCGGGTGCAATTATTGTAATGCGGTACAAATGTAATAAGACTCCTAATTCTTTTTTTTATCGTACAAACAACTTTACAAATCAACACAGTTGGCATCAAAACATTAACCGGCAATTCAATGGTTTACATGCGATAAGTGAGTTGTTAGATAAAACTGAATTTGTCGTTGATATTGATTGATATTTTTTTACGATTATGCCGCGACAAGGAATTTCCTAAGATGATGAGAATGAACATTATAATCATAACCAGCCACTTCACTCACCCAAGACAACTGGTGTAGCAAAAGAGTTAATTAAAAGAACAAAAATCAAGCGCTATTCTCACCGACATTCCAGAGAAACAATTGCTAGAAGAAGAACACATTTCACGGAAGCAGACGTCAAACTCAGTGAAAATACAAATAGTCATACCTCAAAAAAAGTGGATACAAAGAAGATGAATAAGTATGTATAACTGTGCAAAAAGTGGCAAGAACACCGAGCAAAACAAATTGCACAAAAAACATGTTGGAGATTCTCGATGATGAAACTATACAGCTTTTTGAATTACAAAAAAAAATTGCCGGTGAAACTGTAAAGTCGTCGCTTAAATCAACTGAAAAAATAAGGTTTTTAAGAGTTTTCTCTAAAGTTGACGAATAAGGAAATTTTGCACAAAATCTTTCAATGGTTTATCATGCTTAATTTTGGTGCTTTTGACGTGTTCCATGCAATGGTATTAATATGACATAAAAATCCATACTATAGAAGGATACATTTATCAATTCAGCAAACGTAAAAAAAAAAATTGATAACTGATTTTAACATAAAAATTTCATTATTTGCCAATTCGCATTTTTTGACAATTTTTTTTAACTTCCCTATATCCTTTCCCTGTATTCCCTAAAGAAAAACAACCCTAATATTGAATGATCCTGCATATAATCTGCAATATGTGAATCCAAGTCCAGTAGTTTCCGTAAAATGAAAAATTGCGGGCATTACCAGAAAGCGTTGACACTTTTGAGACATATGCAGAAACAAGAGCAAGTTTCGAAAATAAACCTGAGCAGATGCTTTGGCAAAAGAACTGAGCTTCAAACAAAACTAAAATAAAAAAAGTGATTGCGATAATCACAGTCTGTTTTGATCGAGGTATTTTTTAGAACTCTTTTTTTCGTAATGTCAGTTTTTCCTTTAGCAACAATTGCCTCAGAGAAATGCTTATTGCGAACAGAAATAAAATCAAAAGCCTCGCACTTTGAATCTGCATACGCCAAAGCTGTGATTTCCCCCATGGAGCGTCACTGACAGTTGTTCATTAATTTGCATACCGTTCAATCGAAATTCCATCCGAGCAATATTCAATTGTGTCCTCCACAATAGCAGAAAACAGCCTGTAGCAAATACCCGACATAAAAAATCACAGTAAGAACCGACGTTTCTATTCAGCTTCACGCAAATTTGCATAGACGAATGCGAAATCCGTTAGAGAGGGTCTAAGATTTGCATAAGTCTAACCCTTTTGCTGCAGTTTCAGGGATGCAACTTGACTGCCAGTTCACACGCTCCATAGGGATGCATCCCTTAACCCTTTCGGTTGGCAGGTAAAAAAAAAGATGAGTAGCTTTGTTAGCTTTCGCTTTTCATCTGTGAAGAGTGTGTTCAGTGTTTGTGCAAGTCGTGTAAAGTGTGGTGTTTATTTTTCTAGTCGGCTTGATGGTGCGGAATTTATAGCGTATTTCTTCAGATGATTAGTACTGCAACTTTTAGCAGATAGCAGCATGTCTGTAAGAGACTGGATGCCTCAAGACATTTAAGCAGGATTGATTGAACTTTTTTACATCTAATTGACTTTTATTACATTTTTATCGTGCTGTCTTGTCAAAATATGATTTAGTCAATGCAATTCATCACAAAACTCCGTCTATACCTGAGCCCGAGAATAGCCACATGTTATCAAGGAATATTCCTTGATAATTCTTATCCAAAGAAATATTGGCGAAAATATAGGAAGTAGAAACAATACACCTTCTTTTGCACATAAGACGTTCGCTTAAAAATCTTGCACTCGTATTAACAAAATATCAGTCAAGCGGGTACGGCCCAGTATAAATTTCAGTATTTTTATGTTGGCCCAATACAACGCCAACGTTTGTAATCGAAAGTGAACAACGGAAAATCGTATTAAACGCATTATTTCATGTTTCATAAATTAACAGAAGTTGGAAAACATGAAAGAGATTGT